TGGAGGCCATTGCCATTGCTATTAGGTTGGAGGCCATCGCTCTTAAGTTGGAGGCCATCGTTCTTAGGTTGGAGGCCATCGCTCTTAGGGTGGAGGCCGTTGCCATTACTGTTAGGTTGGAGGCCATCGCTCTTAAGTTGGAGGCCATTGCTATTCTAAAGCTGGAGGCTATCGCTCGCCATTGCTATTAGGGTGGATGCCATTGCCATTGCTATTTCTTAAGTTGGAGGCCATTGCTGTTGGGTTGGAGGCCATCGCTCTTAAGTTGGAGGCCATCGCTGTTGGGTTGGAGGTTATCGCTATTAGGTTTGGAGGCCAAGCTTTGCTGGTTTTGGACTGGCAGTTAAAATATGTTCCCCTGCTTTCTGAAAGGCCCATATTCTCTCTGTGAGGGTCATCCCCAGGGTCATCGATTTTGGAAGGTTTGGGGCATCAATGTTGAACGGAAATATTTTAATTTCATATTCCAACTGCCCGTCCTCGCTGTAAGTGTGTGTCACCTCCTGAATGACCACAGTGTTTGGCCGCGTGCAGAACTGCAGGGGGGTGCCCAACGAAGACCTTTCCATTGTGTTGTGATATGACTTTGGGACGCTCAAGTCACGCACCTGCACCACTTTTGACTTGATTTATCGATGATGTAAACCACATTGTCTCTGACCCAGCCACCTTTCCGTTGTGCAGATGGCCGTTGACAGGTTCAGGTTTCAGCGCTCTAAGCCGGTATTGTAATCACTACAGTGAAAAATTTCAACTGATATCGCTCTTGCGAGCATGGACCTAAGTGTGTATACAGTGTACACCTTGGAATCAAAGGTAACCCGTCAGTTTTCCATTTTGCAGGGCGCACGGAGACTGATTCCTATCCGAGCCAGCGAAGCTATTGACATCAGTTGGAAGAAAGTTGGGGCGCCAACTGTTGCGCCTGCGTTGTGATTTGGTTGTGACGCTTAGTACCCACGCCCCACTCTAGATTTCAGGCGGAGCCATGTTTGCAGACTTTGCACGTTCTGTCGTTCGCTCTATGACGTGAAACTTGGAGCCTTGCACACTTGATTTTTTTCACCTTGAGGATTTCTTTTGCTTGCAGGATGATCAGACCTCTTTACATGTTATACTCAGGCCCCTTTTTTCACTTAGGCCGGCCTTTAATCTGGGGAGGTGGCGCGACCAAATCGTACTTATGCATTTCGCCAGTGTGTGTGTGTATTTATATAATGCGTGTGTTCTCATGAGCCAAATCACCAGGCCGATATATTTATGTGAGAGGGTGCATTGAGGGTGCACGGCCACCACAAAAATCATGTGATATGCACCGGAGCTGGTTGACGCTGGCAGGTGGTACCGGCTTCGTTGAGGATCTTGCGTAGTGGCCTAATATGTGGGCAAGTTGGAAAGACGAGTTCAAGACAAAAGACAGATCAGATTGAGTGTTTTCAGGGTGAGCTAACTACCTTCAGATTGCAAAACGAAGCAGCAAAAAACAGTGGTTTTTTGTGTTACATGCGTTCCGTGCCCGTTGCTTGGCGGCATAAAAGGAACGTTTACAATGGAAGAGTGGGGAGGCAACGGGCCATGGTCAGCAAAGAGCGTGCTTTGTTACCGCTTGCCGCCAAGATTTCTTGTAGTTCGCGGCCGTGCGCGCATCCGCATCAAAAAGATGTTTTCGGAAAGAGTCCGTCAAAGGCCCTTCCACGATGGATGGGATTGGTCGTGGCCCACCACGCCCACGATGTATTCGTGTGTTTGTGGATGGGTGTGGTTTTAAGTCTTAAATGGGTTTGTTGTTGTTTTTTCCGCATCCATGCAAGATTTAGAACGTGTTCTGAAGAAGTAAGAAGTGGTATAGTTGCTGGCATGTTGTTTTTTATATGTTTAAAGTTGTGAACAGTAACAGAGAACTCTTGATTGACTAGCTGATGTGTTGTTTT